CACCATCAATGCAACTTGCAGCCTATGCCTTTCATAATTAGCTATAGTACTGTAGCTTAGCTTAGCTTATAGTAATAGAATCGAACCTGGATGAATGATGAACCGTGGGACCTAACTGGTTAAGCATGGCGTGGTTGTTTTCTCGAATCCGGGATTGAAGTTCTACTGATAGACTAAGACGAATTGTCGGCACATTGATAAATACAAACATTAATAGAGTACTTCGTGATTCGTGCTTTCGTTTCCGATGAGAAGAAGACGACTTTTCCTCCATTTCCGTTTCCTCCATGGTTTTAACGCATGAACGTTTCCACTCAACTAGCTTCAACTGACTTCAAACACAGCCGCGCATTCTTTTTGACGACTTCCAGACAAATGTAAGTGACAGCGCGTCAGTCACAAAAAAATCAAAGGCAAACGACCAAGTGTAACCTCCTGACCGGAAATTAGGTCATGGCCAGGAAAATGATAGAGTTTATTGACTGTTGACAGGTTTACAACAAAGCCTCCTTCGTAAGGATTTTGTACAAGCTAATTCTAGCTCATTGTCATATCTTCTCATAGCTCTGAACCAAATCTGGGGCTCGAATTTTAAGAGTCTAAACGTCTCGCGCTCGCACTCAAAACACTTTGAAGTCTCGGTCTCGCAATCTAAAAAGTCAAAATGTCTCGGGCTCGCAAAGAAAAACGCTAGTCTCGCCGTCTCGCAAAGTCTCGCATTTACCATTCGCCACCCCTAAAATGCAGTTCGTCACTGCAAACATTTCTTTATTTTGAAAATGGCTGAAGACAGAAGTTCTGGAAGTTAGTCGAGTGATTATGCTTATTCACAGCGATTGGGTAAGTCACGATACCGAATCTCATTACTTAAAAGCACGACCAAATAGCACAGTCCAGTGTAAAAATGCTTAAATGAATCAAAGGCGTGCATACTTACCCCCGTGAAAAGTGAAAGAGTCGGTAAAAAACAAACTGGGAAACAGACAGCCAAGGCGCTGCAGGCGGTATCGAAAGTGAAAGCACTTGATTTTGTGGCCGATGCACAAAGGCTGCATATTTATGACGTGATGCGATGTTTCAGGTATAAATTACCGTAGCCGAGATCGATCAAATGAGCACTGACCCGGTTTAAAGAGGTTATGTCACACCATTTGCTATCTTTTTAAAACGCCAAAACTTGTCGTATCATTTTAATTCCAAAAATATATAGATATCGCTCTTTGCTAATTTCATCTGACAAACACCTCCTATTTTTTCAGGTGATTGTTGAGAAATCCACGGGATCTTTTAGTCTCCTCTCTTTGTCTGATCTTTCATCTTTTTATTCACAATCAGACTCAGCTATTTCCTCAGGCTCCTTTTCCTTGATCAGTAGCCTATAACAGCAAAGAGAACTTGTTCTTTACTTTTGACTATGAATTCACTGATTAATATGTTGTTCATGTTGGAACACGCTAGATTTTAGTTCTCTTTTCGTTTTGACCATTTTGATCTTCGGTCAGTGTTTATTGCAACTCGTGGTCCATGCCACAGTCTGCTGAAGTCTCCATTTTTACGGCGGTCAGTACGCGAATGAAGTCAATTTGACTCCTATGTTTTCCGTTAGGTGTTGTCCAGGCGTAAAGCCTTCTTATAGTTCGCTGAAAAGACTGTGTTAGTTTCCACAAGATTATTTTCTATTGCAAATTCTTGGTCCAATAGGTTTTCCTGAAATTAGTTCTCCGCGTGGGAAAGATCGAGCCGCGACTTTAGTAGTTAGTTTGGTAGTATTTTAATTCAGTAGTGTCCCCTATTAGTAGGCGTTATAAGGCCCGCTAGAAGACCAGACACTTAAATGAAGCTCATCATCATCATCATCATCATCATCATCATCACTCGGACTCGAAGAAAAATTTCAAGAAAAACCTTTTGGACCAGGGTACTGAGTCTATCTCTTCTTTCATTTCTTTCGCGTATCCTAGGGCCTATCCTTTTAACAGATAGTTAAAAGGCTTTATCGACTTGAGGAGAAAAAAGTTGCAGTTGAGTCTGATTTGGGAAACGTGTTGGGAAAATAGGCCACTTCCGAGTTCCAAAAACCCTCACTTTCAAAATGAGGCTAGGTGCACAACCTTTCTCGTGAAAATGTGTATTATTTGCATGAGAATGAAAAATGATTTCCATATCAAAGGCTGAGCACCTAGCCTTGATTTGAAACAGAGGCCGGGGGAACTCGGAAATGGCCTGCCTCAGCAACTCCCAAGGAGAAGCCTTCACGGCTGAATCCCCAGATTCCAGAGAGGAGTAAGGTACAGCGGAGACATAAGTTTACTGTGAGAATGAAAGTATTATACTTTATTCAGATTTAGCCACAAATAACAACACAAAAGCTGAGCATTAAATTCAAGCCCCAGTTATTCAAACTTTGGATAGAGCTATCTCCACCGGATGAAATCTCAATCCAGTGAATAAGTATTAGGGAAACCCATTGCACTATTCACTGGATAGAGATTTATCCAATAGATCTATAGAGTTATCCACCCAGCATTTGAAAAATTGGGGCCAGAGCGTTAACAAAGGAGCAACAATTAGGAGCCAGTAGAAAAATTGATAACCAGTACACGTTCCAGAAGGCGCCTGTCCCCGTCACGAGTTTGCCTATGTCTTAAAAAAGCCTGTGCCACAGGTTACCCAAAGACTAATGGGACATAACTGCTTTGCACTTTCGGTATTTTCACTTGTGCTTTCATCTGCGTGTCACAATTTTTATTGTGAACAAATGAAGTGCACCAAAACGATTGCAATATGCTCAAATACGCATGCGCAGCTTATTGTTCTTACATTTTCAGTGAATGTGCCAAAATCCCTTGTGCCTGTGTTTGCATTGCTTATGTGAACCAGCTCATAGGAACAGATCAAAATTTTTTAGGCTTTCTTGGGCAACTTATGGGACTAATGGGGTGTGGGAAGGAGTGACAGTATACTGAAAAGCAAGAGAAAAGACTGTTATTCTGACAACAAAAGTTGTCTAAAGCAAAAAGGTTATATTCTTCAGCCGCCTTCATGGAATTTCCATTGTCCTCCCATAGGGGAAGTATAAATATTATCTTACACTACACATTATGATAATTTGATTTAGGCTTGTGTGAGGAAGAGCATTTTCTATTTTACTTCGTCTCGGGTTTGCATAACTGTCTCGAATTCTCCCAACCCCTCTCGTGTTTATATCAGGCTATGCAAACATGGAAAACGTTTTCTATTGCTTAAATCCACCCAGTATTTGAACAACTGGGGCCAGAGCGTTAACAAAGGAGCCACAATTAGGAGCCAGTGGAAAAATTGATAACCGCTACACGTTCCAGAAGGCGCCTGTTCCCGTCACGTCTTTCACATACGCTTCGCGCTAGACACTATCTCGCCCCGAGTTTGCCTATGTCTTAAAAAAGCCTGTGACATAGGTTGCCCAAAGACTAATGGGACATAACTGCTTTGCACTTTCGGTATTTTCACTTGTACTTTCATCTGTGTGTCACAAATGTAAACAAATGAAGTGCACCAAAATGGTTGCAATATGCTCAAATACGCATGCGTACCTTATTGTTCTTACATTTTTAGTGGATGTGCCTGTGTTTGCATTGCTTATGTGAACCAGCTCATAGGAACAGATTATAATTTTTTAGGCTTTCTTGGGCAACTTATGGGATTAATGGGGTGTGGGAAGGAGCGACAGTACACTGAAAAGCAAGGGGAAAGATGGTGTTATTCCGACAAAACCTGTTGTCTAAAAGCAAAAAGGTTATCTTCTTCAACCGCCTCCATGGAATTTCCATTGTCCTCCCATAGGGGAAGTATAAATATTATCTTACACTACACATTATGATAATTTGATTTAGGCTTGTGTGAGGAAGAGCATTTTCTATTTCGGTATTGTTCTTTTTTTTCAATCATCATGTTCGTGTTCGGCACCCACTCTCTGTCCTTCACCCCAGTTAAATCCTCCAGGCCTGTCCTCTTCTGGAAGAGGTTGGTAGTTTGGGTCTTCTGGAGGAGCATCAAAGATGGCTTTCCTACAAGGAAATACAAAATATACATGTAAACAGCATATTTAAATAATTCATTATTGCAAAATCATATCAGTGAGTATTATTGACTGGATGGTCCCATTTCTCTACAGTGAAAGTACATGTTTCTAAAATTTATGTTTTTAACTTGGAGGTTAACCACTAGTAAAGTCATACCTCCTGCTTCTTTGAAATACATACAGGGATCCTCATAATTTATGTCAAATATTCTTCAAAAATTATATTGATAGCATGAAGTACTTCCAGAAATTAATGTTGGTTGTTAGGCAACTTAGGTGGGTAATCAGAAACCCTCAGAAGTCCCAGATTTTGTAACATTCCAGCATTCCTCACTCAGATCCTTTAGCCAGTGAACAGTAGTTAAAATGTCATTATGTTCTCTATGTGGTCAGTGGCAGAATACTGTTTGGAATACATTCTATCCAATGTGAACAATATTTTATATAAAACTGCATTCTTTATATTCCTTTTTCAAAAAAAATAGTTTAGGTCCACCACAGTAAGTATGTTTTCATCAGGAGGGTAGTCATGACAGATGTTGTGGGTAATATCTTTGAAAACAAACAGTATTAACATTTCTTACAAAATTCCTGGTGTCTTGAGTATCCTAAAGCCACCTGGTTGCTCAGGGAAAACATCTTCAAAGAAATAATAGATATGCCCCACTGCAATACCTTGAAAAACAGTTGAAAAACATGAGTAAAAGGTGGAGATACAAGTAAGAAGAGGAAGATTTAGGGTTATTGTGTGGTTGTTTTTACATATTGCCCTAGTGTTTAAGTCCAATCAGACTTTTATCATTTAATGATTAAGAAAGAATAGAGGTAAACATTTAGCGAAAAAGAAAAAACAATACCAGCTGGTTTCATGTGAGGCTAGATAATTATTTGTTGAACCATTGTTTCAACTAAATTGAGTTATTAGGGAAACAAGCCAGGGGGGTACTTGAGGAAGTTTTGGCTGCAGATGTGCAACAGGGAACCTGGAACCATTAGTCTATATCAGACATGTTTCAGGTAAATTTTGCTACAGGTAACCTTACATTAGACTAAACTCCCAAAATCCCTCCCTATCCTACAGACACTATTTTCCGTCCATCAATGCTTTCTTTATCATCAAACTGAGTATCAGGTGAAATTGAATTTGCTGATTTGATTTTCTTTTTCAATTTTGGCTCCTTCGTCTGGTCTAGACTAAAATCCTCAACCCATCAGTTTCCTGGAAAATGATACCCCATTATAGACCCAAACCATCTGATTTCTATACCCTCTCCCAGACTAAACTGCTTGAAAACCATACCCTTTACAGCATCACATACCTATATAGCCTATATATGGCAGTACCCCCCCCCCCCGATACAAGCTACTGTTGATCAGTAGCTATTCCTTAACGCAAATAGTTTTGACATAAGTCATGTCAATACATTATTGAGGCTTACTGTTCAACATTACACTATTAATGGTGAACTTTATTTACAAAATTTTAATTAAGCAGAAAAAATTTCTCTCTTCATATAATGGTCTTCAGCAATAAAATTGTTTTACCTATAAGATCAACTATGACTGAATTTCCCAGCATGAGTGAGAAACCAAACAGCACCCAGGGTAAAAATGGAGCCTTGAAAGTTAACAGACCAAAGAAGTTCATGCGAACATAAGGATTTCTTCTGCTCCAGACATACACCAACATGATGGTGAATGCCTGACCTAGAAAGACTAAGTTGACAAACAGGGCAATGATCTGAATGCAGAAGTCAAGGAACAGTTTTTCTCAAAAGGAGGGTTCAATTGATTCTAATTCAGATTGTTTACTGATACAAAAAAAGATCTATTTTGTTTCACAAGCTTGATAAAAATAGTTGTGTCAGATTTGCTCTGATCACATGTATTTTTACCTATACATTGCAGATTGAAATATTATGGAATTTTTAAATGAGGTTCAAACTTTTGAGTTTAAGAAAGTTATATGAAACCACACGGTTTTAAAATTCAAATGAATCAGTGATATTCATCAGATCTTAACAGTGGTATTGGGTGGTTCTTACTTTTGATTCTGTGAACAAAGCCATACATAGTGATGAATTCAAAACAAATATTATTGTTTTCTCAAGTATTACTTTATGATTATCATATTGTTTTGTTTGTTTCTCTCTTTAGTATAAGATTAGATCTTTTTCTGAATATATTTTTCAGTACTGAGTATAACTTCTTTTAGCAGTAAAAGAAGTGTACATAAGATAAGTTTATTAACAACAATATCAAGGATACAGTCATGATCACTCCACCAAACATGAACATAAAAACAAAGTCAGCAGTTCTTCCTCTGAAAGAACCCTCCTCTAACATCCGACAATACCGATAACTNATATATTTTTACCTATATATTGCAGATTGAAATATTATTGAATTTTTAAACGAGGTTCAAACTTTTGAGTCTATGAAAGTTATGTGAAACCACACGGTTTTAAAATTCAGATGAATCAGTGATATTCATCTGATCTTAACAGTGGTATTGGGTGGTTCTTACTTTTGATTCTGTGAACAAAGTCATACATAGCGATGAATTCAAAACAAAGATGATTGTTTTCTCAAGTATTACTTTATGATATTGTTTTGTTTGTTTCTCTCTTTAATATAAGATTAGATCTTTTTTTGAATATATTTTTCAGTACTGAGTCTTACTTCTTTTAGTAGTGAAAGAAGTGTACATTTAAGATAAGTTTATTAACAACAATATCAAGGATACAGTCATGATCACTCCACCAAACATGAACATAAAAACAAAGTCAGCAGTTCTTCCTCTGAAAGAACCCTCCTCTAACATCCGACAATACCGATAACTATCATATGTCAAGGATTTAACCAACTAAATTAATCAATGTTGATAAATCATGAGTTCTAGGATTTTTGCAAAGAGCAACAATGACTTGTGTGAAACCATTCACACACACTTTTTTAGCAACTGACATACATAAAGTCCATTTCCACCTGCAAAGAGCAGGTGCTAGTCGAGGCAGGCGGAAACACAGGGGTACAGCAGTCAGTGATAAATTAGAATGGTTAGTTAAAAATAAATGAATAAAACTTAAATGTGAATAAATAACATTTACAAAATCAACCACTTGTAACAGTTACAGGTATTTATAACTGCAAAACTGTATTAAACTATTCATACTGTTAGTTTGCTATACTTTTTCTGAAGCAGAATGGACGCTTCAACATAATCATCCTAGCCTCTAATATCGAAAGCAACATGTTATTGATGTTTTTTAACAGCTCTCTTGGGGAAAACATAATTCATTTTGTTAACAATTTCACTCTCATATTGAGCAAAAAAGGCTTTTAAAGTACTTTTGAGTCTATGAATAAAACCCTATAGTGTTACCATTCAAACAAATTCTCTTCTGCAGTAACACATTCTCTTAATATTTTCTCAGTATTTTTGTTGTTCAAAATTTTTATTCAAATGAAATCCGGCAATTATTCTGTTTAATATTGACCATGGCCACTTTGGGAGTAAAGGCGTTATTAAGATAGATTTCATCCCCAGGGAAACATCTACTATTTAGAGTTGTTCAAGTGATTTTTATAGCAATAGGTTTTAGAGGTCTCAATGTATTCATTCCTTTGAAGGATGACTTCATAAAAAGAAATATACAAGAGTTGAAAAAGTTGTATGCATACTTTTGGTGGTCTTTCCCTCGCTAATTTGTTTCAAAATATATTTTCACAGCTCCAAAGTAAGTATAAATTAACTTCATCTATTCTTCAAAATAAACTATACCAGGACTTATAACCCAGAGTGAGCAATTCCCCCGTGCTTGAGTCGCATCACAACGTTTTCACTGACCAGAATGATTTTGGCAGACGTTCAGGACATCTTTTTAATCCCATGAACCAGTCAGCACAACGTACAGCCCTGAAAAGGGTATATTGGACCTTTTAAATGATGTCTTTCTTTTCCTTTCTCAAATCTTATCTTTTGAATGTGCCCATACACATAGCAGAGCTTCTATGTTCGTGGGGAAAAATAGTGCTCTAAAATGTTTCTAAAAATAAGCTGGTCTGTAAAAAATGGTGTGACAATGTGTGACATAGGCCTAGTATGGGAATTGCTCACTCCAGGTTATGGGTTCCTGAATAAACAGAGTGTGCATACATTATTACTGAAAATGCATGGGTGAACATTAATAGATTCTAAAGGATACGTGAAAATCATGTTGAAGAAGAAGTTGAATCCAATTGTCCCAAAGAACAGGAAATTTGTTATCAGTCTCCAAAACTGAAAAAAGGAAGGAAAACAAAAATTTAAAAAATGTTAATATTGAAAAAACTTTGAAAATCTCACATTTTTTTTCATGATTCTTCACCTCTTTTTAAAGAAAATTTAACCCAGTGAATAAGCTTTCTGCTAATAATTGTATGCACAATACGTATATCAATATTTATTAATGCTGATTGTACTGAGATTTAAAACGTGAATGTGATATTGCGAATATTTTATGCATAGTAAATTTTTTCCCTCTAAATATATTCTTATACTGCAAGAAGGTAATATTGTTACCTACGAAAATACCTACCTGAAATCTTTGAAATATAAGCTCAGGGTTGAAATATAGCTGAAAGGGCGTTATCAGCTCAAGTTGCTAACGACAAAAACAAAAAAAAGTTCTTTTAAAACAGATGGCACAGAATGCTGGACATGGAGACACTCGCAGTTGCATGTAAACAAATCTTTTTCCCTAGTATTATGCAGTCAAATCAGTCAAATTTCAATCCAAAAAATTTCCTTACCACTGCAAGTGTTGTAACTACACAAGCAGTCGCATATGTCCGTGTAACCACCGGCATTTGCAAGTATTCTTGCTGAAATGTTTGGTACGCCATCTTGCCAGAGCTCTTGTTGTATTACAAAAGACACGTCAGTGAATCCAGACTTCCGGGTTTGAGTTCGTCCGTAGAGGTCTGGAACGATACCATTAATCCAACATGGCGGACCCTCCAAAGGCCGAAGAGTATCAAAACTTTTCATTTCCCAATGACGAAATGCCGCTAAGCTCGATCATTCCAGCTGTACAAGAAGTAAGGAAACGTAGACCTCCATTTGTTCCCTCTGTTGGACTTCCAAATGTGATTAGAACACCGCAGGAACTGATGGTAGAAAGAGCTATGGAAAACTGCGCTTTCAAGTCAGTTTTGGCNGCTGAAATGTTTGGTACGCCATCTTGCCAGAGCTCTTGTTGTAATTACAAAAGACACGTCAGTGAATCCAGACTTCCGGATTTGAGTTCGTCCGTAGAGGTCTGGAACGATACCATTAATTCAACATGGCGGACCCTCCAAAGGCCGAGGAGTATCAAAACTTTTCATTTCCCAATGACGAAATGCCGCTAAGCTCGATCATTCCAGCTGTACAAGAAGTAAGGAAACGTAGACCTCCATTTGTTCCCTCTGTTGGACTTCCAAATGTGATTAGAACACCGCAGGAACTGATGGTAGAAAGAGCTATGGAAAACTGCGCTTTCAAGTCAGTTTTGGCTGGAGTCGTAGGTACTGTAAGAAGATAATTTATAAAAACAGCCCACTTCCTTTTTGGTTCATTAATTTACCTAGCACGTTATTAATATTTGAAGAAACTGTTTCTACGGCTCTTACTGGATACGGGACCACCAATTCTTCAGGCGTGCCCAATCGATAAAAATCGATCATCGGAAACCAATCACTATAATCAATATATACGATAAAAATTAATCGATTTATATCAATAATCGATACTCGCAATGCAAGTCCACTTAATTGTATTGATTTTTATCAGCTTTACTAAAATTAATGGGTTATAGTTTGGTCTGTATGCGGGAAAAATGGGGAAAGTGGCGGGATATCTTTTCATTTGTCTGACAATCACCATAAATGAAGCGATGATCTCAGAGATTAAATGATGATCACATTGCCATTTCAGTAATGTTTGACAATGTTATGTATCGGTCAAATTGAAGCTTCAACATCCCCAGGCATTTGACACCTTTGCCATCATGGGGAGGAGGGAATTTGATTATCAGAGTCTTCCAGGGGGTGGGGAATTTGATCCCCATGCGTTAGGGGTGGGGAATTTGAACTGCACCCTCGATTTCATGTGAAACCTCTGGCGTGGCGAGCTGTCATGGGGGACGCGGTGTTAGAGGATTTTCGTGTAAAAGATTGTGCCTTTATGGCCAATTGGTTACAAGGTTTGTGCCGTATTTGAAGGTATTTAAATTTTAATATTTGTAATACTGGATTCAGGCTTTGAATATATGAATGTATTTTAAAAGTTGTCTTTATAATGAATTACAATACCTATACCGGCGATTCAATACAACAATAAAAAGCTCAACAGAGGTCAATTACTTTGACCTGCCACATGTATGTTAATTAATAAGGTGAGCGATGATGCATGTCAGTGAATTTGTCATGATGTAGTAATCTCAATAGGCGGGATTTTTTTTAAAGAACGCATTGTTTGTTGCATGACACACGAAGAAACTCTGAGCCTTCAGTGACCTTGTAGCAGCGATTTCCACCGCTTTGCACGAGACTTTTGTTCGTCATAAATACGCTAACAGTGCTTTTCAGTTTTTGTTTTATGGAATAAGAATTATTTGCTGTATTCATAGAGACTTTGTTCGACAACTGAAGGCGTTTCTGCCATCCTTCTGTCATTTATGTGCCTGTGAAATGTCCTTGGGGTGGGAAATCTGAATGGACCCTAGTGTGGGGCATTTGAATGGCATTTTGGCCTGGGGGAATTTGAACAACAATTTTCAAAAAAATCAATTTGACCGATACATTAGTTGTGCAATGACAGCAAAGAAAACTGCCAAAAAGTTTACTGCACATTCAGAGTTTTTGCTTTGCTTATTTTCTGACTTCCATTGTTGTTGTGGTCGCGCCAAGCTCGCAAGTAGCCTAACCATGAAAAAATTTTGGTTTTTGGGGAGGGGGCGGATTTAGGGGTTTTGATCAAGATATCTAACAAGCACCACCATTTGGTGAGTACCCACCCTCCTTGAGAGTTGTATTTTTTAGATCTCCTTGTTTTGTTTGTTTGTGTTGGTTCTTCATTATCAGCAGGCTGGTTCATACAGGTCTTGGAAAACCGGTAGAGTTATGGAATTTAAGAATATTTCATTTTCAAGGCCTGGAAATTCATGGAATTTACTTTTTGGTCCTAGAGAGTCATGAATAATTAAAATTTTGTTTGGTAGATTAGTTACTGCAGATGGCAAAGCAATAATTATAATGTAAGATAAAGAGGAGTAATAAAACAGCACGAATGTCACGCATCTTAGTGGATAGCAGAGTTTTTTTCTGTTGAACTGTTTAAGGTCAACAAAATATGCTAAAACAAGGAAAGTTTTGAAAATTTTCGAAAGTGACAGCTAAACCTACGGTCATGGAAAAACCCACGGCAAGTCATGGAATTTGAAGAGCTCAAAAGGGTGCGAACCCTGCTAGTACCTGCAGGAGGTAGCCCAAGTATTACATGGCTATGACTTGACAGCTTTTTTGTAGGGGCAGAGGGTTTTGTGTTGTTGCTGAGGAATGTTATGGAGTCATAAAGACTAAACATTATTTTCTTCTAATAATGCACAAAAACAAGGCTGAACTACAAATGCCAGCGCCACACAACTGGCATGTTTGCCTTGTTCTTGATGTTTGTTTTTTAAAGTGTGAATCTGCAATTTATCACCCATACAGGTTATGGTCTTGGTGCTGTGTTTGGCCTTTTTACTGCTGGAATGGACTCATCCATGCCCAATCCTATGACTGGAGTTGCTGATCAATCAGCTAAGGCTATTCTCAAAGACATGAGATCTCGTGCAGTTTCTTATGGAAAAAATTTTGGTGTGGTGGGTTTCATGTTTTCTGGAACTGAATGCCTTGTAGAGTCTGTAAGTACATAAAGATATGTCTAAATGACACCTCCCCCCCCCACTCCTCACTGTTTAAGTTTAAAATAAAGTGATTATGTTAATTATTTTTACCAATATTTTTTCATTCTTTAACTTGAATGTTTTTTCTGCTAAGATCAGTCAGTGAAGTACAAGTCACTAGATTTCCAAACGAGGGCCAAAGGCGCAAGCTTCTAGGGGGATCTTGGGCATGCACCCCAGTGAATTTTTTTGGATTTTTGCTCCCTAAAGTCACCTTTTGTGGGTTTCTGAGTTATTTAGTCAGGATATTGGCCAGATTTTAACTTGAAAAGTTTTTTTTCATTAAAAATGTATTAATTATTTTATTTATGAAAAATCGGACCAATTTTTGTAAAACAGTGGAAACCAATGTGGATCTGCGCCTGATCTGGCAAGGGTTTCCTTATCTTGATATTTTGGTATAATTTGCAGTTTCGAGGAAAAAGTGACTGGAAAAATGGAACGCTTTCAGGTGGAATCACTGGTGGACTCCTTGGGCTGAGAGGTATTGACACTGCAGAATAGTGATCCTGCTTAGATTATCTTTTAGATAAAAACAATAATGCATCTTTCAAAGCCAAAAGCTATGACAGCGTTGAGCAATAAATGATTTAGCCCCATTTTAGTCCCATCTGCTAACTTGGATTAGTCCAGGAGAGTAAGAAGAAAAACTGAGTTGGGAAGGGTGTCAATGCTAGATATAACATACTAAATTGTTTCAAGCACCAAAAGTCTTTGGTCATTATAGCAATTTCCCACTCAACTCAAAAATAATTTGCTAGTGTATTGATCTCCTTTGAGTTTTTTCTTCTTCCAAATTTTTCATAGCTGGTGGAAAAGCAGCCGTTATGGGTGCACTTGGATTTGCAGCATTTTCAACTGTTATTGATTACTACCTCAGATGACCAACCCATAGACTGGATTATCGCCAGCCACTGGAGATCCCAAGACAATGTTTTGTCTAATATGAGTACAGAGATAGGTGAAACACTTTTATCCAACAAGCTGTCACTGCCATTGGTGGGTCATAGAGTTTAACAAGACTTTGCCAGCAAAATCTCTGAGAAAAAGGAAAGATGCAGTGAAACCCTGGCTTACAGCCACCTTGGTAATACGGTCACCTCGTTATTACGGCCACTTTTTTTGGCCACCCAGCAAGAACCATCATACTTTTTCGTATAAAAAAACCCTCATTAATACAGCCACCCTGTTAATACAGCCAATTTTTTTTGGCCCATTGGTGACTGTATTAATAGGCTTCCATTGTAGTTCAGTTGGTACTGTGACTGAATAAGGTGGTTCATAGTGGAAGTAATAGCAACAAAATATGAACAAAGAGATAAGAAGGGTGAAACAATGGCTTTGCTGAAAATGTTGATCATTCTTTAGTTTTCTCATCCATGCAAGACAAGACAGTGAAATATCTTCTTTTCAGGACAATAATTTTCCTTTATTTTTTATCTCAAAACTGAGCCTGTAATCAGGTCAGGTTCTGTAGAGGATAGTTCACAAATCACAAAGGTTATGCTTCACCGACTTAGGGTGCAGTTAATTTATAGCATTTTCGAATAAGAACTGACACATAACTCTTTTCTGGGAATTTTTAAGTTATTCAAAGAACTGCATGTATTTAAGTACCAATCAAACAGGTGCAAGTATTCAATCAATCTCACTGTAAGGCACTTCGAAACAGTAGCACCTGGTTGTAAGGTTCTTAAAAAAAATGATTAATCTGGATTTTAAAAGGTCATTTGCGGGTTGCTTGACTCTCATAGTCAATTTGTGGTTACCTGGAGGCCACAGCCAGCGAACACAGATGTATTTCCGGAAGGGACGACCCGATATACGTCTGTGTTCACTGGCTAGGAAGCCCTGATTGATTGACGAAATGTCATGACACAAATGGTGTGGGAACTGCACAGGAACCCCAAGGCTACAAATGAGGCACTCGGTACAACATCGGTACTCATTTTGAGAATGTCATTAGGTTAACCTGTGATATATTGGTGAATATCTCTGTTTATGTAAAAGAAATCATCAAAAGATGATTGTAGGTTATTATTGATGTAGAGAAGCATAAACAAAGCAATGGATTAATCCTTTAAGTCATCTAGAGGTTAATTTTACATTATCTGAATATTTTCTGCTGGGCAGATGATATAAACGCGAGTGTGGCCTTATCTAAACTTCGAAACAATGCTTATGACTACGAGTTCGATAAGAAAAGTGCAAAGAATCACATCATGTTACCCAACCACAAACTACGAAATGCTCTGGTCCTGGTTTTTCGATTGAACGTTGGTTAGTACTATCCACCGGATAAATCACTATCCAGTCACTGTCCAGCGGATAAGTATAATAGGGAATCCAATTAATGATTCCGTGATCCAGTGGATAGAGATTTATCCACTGGATACCGTCATCCGCCCAGCTTTTGAACAACTGGGGCTGCAACAATAAGTAACAGTTTTCAACTCCTTAACACTTAAAGTCTTCGCTTTCCCCCCCCCAGATCAAATTATGGCAAGATTATTTGTCAATCTAACCCGAATCTAACTTTTAATTATGTGAACAGGATTCCCTGATATTATACCATTCAAATGAAACCTCCCCAGTATCGACCAGTAGTTCTAACTTTTTAGTCTGTGAACAGAATCCTATGGTGTTACCATTCAAATGAAACCTCTCCGACAGTCATTTCATTATGGTGCTATTTATCTTCTAATATGTAGTTCTAACCGTTGAGTCTGTGAATAAAATCCTATGGTGCTACCGTTCAAGGGGAAACCTCTTTAAAAGAACTTTTGCGTAGTACCACTTACTTCTTAGCATTTCACAAACGAATTTTAATTTTTTTTTTATAACGTTTTTACCTTAGAAGAAGTAAAAGGGTTAAAATTTGGCTTATTAGTATTTACAGTGGAACCTCAGTCAATATCATAACGAAGGGCTAAGAGACTCGCTGACAAATATGTTCGTTATAACGGGGCTCTCAGTTTCCATATATTTTAGACCCTGCCCCATCTTACTATTTACATGCTAAGTTGTTTAAAGCACCAAACGTCTTTGGTCAACTCAAAAATAAGTGTATTGATCTCTGTTGAGTTTTTTTTTTTTTTTTCGCAAATTTTCCATAGCTGGTGGGAAAGCAGCCATTATGGGTGCACTTGGATTTGCAGCATTTTCAACTGTTATTGATTACTACCTCAGATGACCAACCCATGGACTGGATTATCGCCAGCCACTGGAGATCCCAAGACAATTTTTTGTCTAATATGAGTACAGAGAAGGGTGAAACAACACTAGACTGGCCTTATTCAACAAGCTGTCCCTGCCATTGGTGGGTCATAGAGTTTAACAAGACTTTGCCTGCAAAATCTCTGAGAAAAAGGAAGGATACAGTGAAACCTGCCTTATGGCCACCTTCGTAATACGGTCACCTCGTCATTACCGCCACTTTTTTTTGGCCGCCCGGCAAAAACCGCCATACTTTTTTGTGTAAAAAAACTCTCGTTAATATGGCCATCCTGTTAATATGGCCAATTTTTTTAGCCCATTGGTGACCGTATTAATGGGGTTCCACTGTAGTTCAGGTGGCACTGTGACTGAATAAGGTGGTTCTATAGTGAAAGTAATAGCGACAAAAAATCAACAAAGGAATGAGAAGGGTGAAACAAGGGCTTTGCTGAAAGTGTTGATCATTCTTTTGTTTTCTCATCCATGCAAGACAAGACAGTGAAATATCTTCTTTTCAGGACAATAATTTTCCTTTATTTTTTATCTCAAAACTGAGCCTGTAATCAGGTCAGTTTCTGTAGAGGATAGTTTACAAATCGCAAAGGTTATGCCTCACCGATTTAGGGTGCAGTTAATTTATAGCATTTTGGAATAAGAATTTTCAAGCTATTGAAAGAACTGCATGTATTTAAGTACCAATCAAACAGGTGCATGCATTTAATCAATCTCACTCTAAGGCACTTTGAAACAGTAGCACCTGGTTGTAAGGTACCAGAAACATGTAACCCCGAACGGGATTATATGCTTCTGAAGTTACTTAAAAAAATGATTCATCTGGATTTTAAAAGGTCATTTGCAGGTTGCTTGACTCTCATAGTCAATTTGTAGTAACCTGGAGGCCACAGCCGGCAAACGCAGATGTATTTCCGGAAGGGACGACCTGATATACATCTGTGTTCACTGGCTAGGGAGCCCTGAGTTTTAGACGAAATGTCATGACACAAATGGTGTGGGAACTGTACAGGAACCCCAAGGCTACAAATGAGACACTCGGTACAACATCGGTACTCACTTTAAGAATGTCATTAGGTTAACCTGTGATATATTCGTGAATATCTTTGTTCAGGCAAAATAAATTATTAAAAGATGATGTAGGTTATTATTGAGGTAGAGAAGCATAAGCAAAGCGATGGCTTAATCCTTTAAGTCATCTAGAGGTTAATTTTACATTATCTGAATATTTTCTGCTAAGTAGACGATATATCTTGAAAACGCGTGAAAAACATATGTGGCCTTATCTGAACTTCGAAACCATACTTATGACTACGAGTTCGATAAGAAAACAGGGGCGGATCTAGGGGGAGGGTGCAGGGGGTGCGCACCCCCCCCCCCCCCCCCCGNGTAGAGGATAGTTCACAAATCACAAAGGTTATGCTTCACCGACTTAGGGTGCAGTTAATTTATAGCATTTTCGAATAAGAACTGACACATAACTCTTTTCTGGGAATTTTTAAGTTATTCAAAGAACTGCATGTATTTAAGTACCAATCAAACAGGTGCAAGTATTCAATCAATCTCACTGTAAGGCACTTCGAAACAGTAGCACCTGGTTGTAAGGTTCTTAAAAAAAATGATTAATCTGGATTTTAAAAGGTCATTTGCGGGTTGCTTGACTCTCATAGTCAATTTGTGGTTACCTGGAGGCCACAGCCAGCGAACACAGATGTATTTCCGGAAGGGACGACCCGATATACGTCTGTGTTCACTGGCTAGGAAGCCCTGATTGATTGACGAAATGTCATGACACAAATGGTGTGGGAACTGCACAGGAACCCCAAGGCTACAAATGAGGCACTCGGTACAACATCGGTACTCATTTTGAGAATGTCATTAGGTTAACCTGTGATATATTGGTGAATATCTCTGTTTATGTAAAAGAAATCATCAAAAGATGATTGTAGGTTATTATTGATGTAGAGAAGCATAAACAAAGCAATGGATTAATCCTTTAAGTCATCTAGAGGTTAATTTTACATTATCTGAATATTTTCTGCTGGGCAGATGATATAAACGCGAGTGTGGCCTTATCTAAACTTCGAAACAATGCTTATGACTACGAGTTCGATAAGAAAAGTGCAAAGAATCACATCATGTTACCCAACCACAAACTACGAAATGCTCTGGTCCTGGTTTTTCGATTGAACGTTGGTTAGTACTATCCACCGGATAAATCACTATCCAGTCACTGTCCAGCGGATAAGTATAATAGGGAATCCAATTAATGATTCCGTGATCCAGTGGATAGAGATTTATCCACTGGATACCGTCATCCGCCCAGCTTTTGAACAACTGGGGCTGCAACAATAAGTAACAGTTTTCAACTCCTTAACACTTAAAGTCTTCGCTTTCCCCCCCCCAGATCAAATTATGGCAAGATTATTTGTCAATCTAACCCGAATCTAACTTTTAATTATGTGAACAGGATTCCCTGATATTATACCATTCAAATGAAACCTCCCCAGTATCGACCAGTAGTTCTAACTTTTTAGTCTGTGAACAGAATCCTATGGTGTTACCATTCAAATGAAACCTCTCCGACAGTCATTTCATTATGGTGCTATTTATCTTCTAATATGTAGTTCTAACCGTTGAGTCTGTGAATAAAATCCTATGGTGCTACCGTTCAAGGGGAAACCTCTTTAAAAGAACTTTTGCGTAGTACCACTTACTTCTTAGCATTTCACAAACGAATTTTAATTTTTTTTTTATAACGTTTTTACCTTAGAAGAAGTAAAAGGGTTAAAATTTGGCTTATTAGTATTTACAGTGGAACCTCAGTCAATATCATAACGAAGGGCTAAGAGACTCGCTGACAAATATGTTCGTTATAACGGGGCTCTCAGTTTCCATATATTTTAGACCCTGCCCCATCTTACTATTACTGGAACGAAGAATATTGTTATTTATACTAAGGACTTCGTTATTTAGAGGTTCGTTATATCAAGTTTCCAAGCAGACCAGGCGCGACATTCCTCCTTGGTTCTCTGCCCTATGTAAAAATCCTCTCAGAATGTGAGCGAAATGCTTCATATACCTCATTCCTCAGAAGACGCAAACGCTGTACAGATCCCAGAATGGTACATACAGCCATATTGGACTTCGCAAAAGCTTTTGCTAATTGGTATACATACGGAGGAGTTTTGTCGGCATGTGCAGCAAAGTCCTGGAACAAAAGCTGAAAAGGCATCTGTTCTCACAAGCCACTGACCTGAAAGGCACAGAATCATGAGAACAATCCCGGCAAAGATTTTGTGTGAGCTTCAGTGAATTACGAAAGAAAACTCGCTCCAAATAGCTCCTGAAAAACGTGACATAAATGAAATGGAGTAGGAGCAACTATTTTCCGTAATTTTAAAACGCTGGCCCGATCGACTTCCACTACTCTAGTTCCCTTTCCTTTATATCCGATGCCATCCGGCAAATACTTAATACATTTCAATTTCTTACAATAGTCCAGGAGCGTAGCGTCCATTTACGCACTTACGTCCGTGCGTACAGCTGACACAGTTTGGAAAAAAAAGAATACTTTTTTTATTTCCTGAAGGGATGTTTATCATTAAATCGGGATGACTGATAAATGTTTCGTATTGGTGTTAGTTTTTCCCTTATCCTTTTATTATTTCATAAACGGGCGGCCAAAAAATTTTTTAGTGGGGTGACAGAGGAGAGATTGGGCTCCCTAGCAATTCTTCGCCGGCATAGCCAAGCACAAGAACATTGATATTGATGGCGTTGTAAAAGTTGTAAGAGAGTTTTCCTCTCTGAAGGGTAGACGTCTCGCCCTTAGTGCTTGTAACCTCCTTGATGGCGTCAGTTTTACCCAGGCTTTTTCCGCATACGCTCTATCTTACCGATAACACTAGAGATGGGTAAAATAAACAACTACCTACTGCATATTTCTTCGTATTTATTTACTGAAAATGCCCTGCGAAAAACGCTGGATATGAGATTTGGGGGATCCCAACAGTTTGACGCGCCTCCATTCCTGTCCTCCAACTTTTCTTCTTTTAACTTTTCTACCCCTGTAATACACCTGACTCACAGATGCCGTCGGTGGAAAAAAAGGATCAGTTTAGAGGACAAAGGTGGCTCGACGGTTGGCTAATGTTTTCCAAGAGTGCGAGTAAAAAACAAGCTGCTTGAAAACAAAAGGCTCAAGAGGAAGCTTTCCGGGAATAAAATTAGGTCAGGGGGTAAGTACCACCTTTCAAGAAATTTCTATTGTAGGATGAGTATGACTAGGAGCAACTACACCAGGCAGGTTTTTGAGGTAACGCCGCCATTGTTCAGAAACAGGCGACCCAATTTGAACTTTATGGTCTATTATTGTTGGTCAAGGAAAAGAATTTATCATTTGGGCGAACATGGTGAGGGAAAATGAAAGTAAAATGTATTTGTAACAGGCTCAGGGAAAAAACGCTTTTGCCACTATAAGCAACTGATAAGTAATGTAGCAAAAGTAGCTCCACCAATCAGCTTTCTCGATCTGGGGAAGTAACCAATAGCTTGGTCGCTCGCTTTTGCACACGGTGTCAGTGGCGGGAAAAGTTTTCAAAATCGAGTTTTACAAACTGGCCAGAACTGAGCATGTAGTTGCCTTCGCAGGTAAGAACAGAAAATGCTTCAAAAGTGAACTAAAATAATTTGAAATTTAAGGGCCATCACAACAACAAACACGCAAACAGTTAAGGAGAGGGGAAAACCAAAAAAATGCCAAATCCTAGAAAGCACTTTTCGCCGTCCTACTTAGGGCGAACCATCTTGCAAAATCGTACCATGGTAAATGTCATTCGTTGTTTGTCAAAGGACTTAAATATTTAGTTTTTAAGACTGGGGAAGTAAGACAAAAAGGTAAAGCAGCCAAAGTTTCACAATGGGTTGTTTGAAAAGATCACGCCAAATTGAGGATTTTTAATTTCCCTTTGAGAACTGTGTTTTGAAATATAAGCTCTAAAATTGAGGGTAGGAAACATATTTAAGGACGGGGACAAATGCAAAAAGAGCAAAGGACAATATTTTGCAGTAATAACGTGTAAGCTTAACTCATACAATTTTTTCTTCATGTTTTATTTCAAACCGTATTAGGGTAAAACTAGAATAACTATGAACCTTAGAAAACGGGACAGTCAGTGGCTAAATATAGATCTTATCCCAAAAACTATAGGGAAATAAATAGAAAACTTTTACATGATTTCAACTTTAAACAATCTGAAGAGCAACTCTGTTTAACAAATTATATGGTCCTGAACCAAAACTCATCTCCCAGCAACATTACAGATGAGGTTAAAAGTTGTTTAAAACTATATGAGAGAGTTTCTATTTGTGTAACTGATGTAAGAAATTAGATGCACCAAATCAGTAAACCGCTAAGAAATTGGATATAATAATTAAAGCTTGTAAATCAAATTAATAGAGCTTGAACCAGCTTGGATAGTACATAAGTGAAGGGTGCAAAAACTTCCTGCTTAGAGTTGAAAAGAAACCAATATGTACAAACAAGTTAGGTTGTACAATCAATCCTTTCACGTGATGTCGTTGTCGATAATCATCTAACATTTTATCCTTGCCATAAGTTTGTGAGCAAATATGATTTTTCATGTAATGCAACCATTGCTTAGCTTCATCGGCCACAAATAACATTCCAGGAGTACAACAGGAGGGTGTGGGACTAACTGTAAAGAACCTCTTTGAGATATACTGCATTTCAATGATATGTTGCCTGCTAATTGAAATAGCCATCAGTAGGAAGTACGCTATTGCCCAAAACCAGATTATATGGATACTAGACTTGCGTTTCCAGCGTCCTCTCATGCATAACATTACAAAATTCAATAGAAGTGTTACACAGCTACCAAAGAACACAGCAAAGCTGACCAGTTGGGGAATGCGCTCTGGCTCTAAACTCCAAAATCCAAGAAGTCTTTCTGGATGATAAAGTTTATAAAACAAGACATTGGAGGTTGATACACGTGACTCCATTGCCTTTTTTCTAGTTTCAAGAACATAATACAAGATTTCAAACAGCTGAGGGTGAGGAAAGGCATCATCCTCAACCAACAGTACAAACTTTGGTTTGGTCTTAAGGCTTTCTTCCAAACAAAATGCATAGTCTTGCTTCTCTTTTTCTTTAATATTCACTTGAGGTAAGTTTTGTGCTTCTACAGAAAAGCGCTTATAATAATGCACTGTGGAGCTAAAGCCTTTGGCTTCTTCATGGCCTTTGTCATCAACATCACATACTGATAATCTTATTTTCCATGGCAATGATCTTGTCTCTGTACTGTTCAAAATGACAACAAACTGCCATAAAATCTGAGTTAAGAACCTTGGATTATTTCTAACAAGTAATGGGCTTTGCCGAGAAGCTGAAATAATCATGACATCAATGTCAACATTAAGCTGATCCTTTGCAGGATTACTGAAGCCAAGAGTCAAGTTCCTTTGATGAAGTGAATCCCAAAATTTAGATGCAGCTGTGACTCGCAAGTCATTTTGTCTTAAATGGTAAGCCATTTCAACAGATGAGTTATGAAAGGGACTGCGAAAGTAAAGTGAATACCTCATGTCCTTACATATAAATGGGAGTAGACCAAGAAATGACACAACATATACTGTTAAAGAAGCCAAGGAGGGTACAAAGGTACCCAAATTTGGCATACTGACTACTAGTAAATATTTGAGTGACTTTAAAAGTTAATCTTTCACCAAAAATGCAGTGCTGACCTGAAAGGTAAAAAAGGGACTAATGTGAGGAAAAACACAAAGTAGAATTTCTGTTGGGAGGAAGGATACCCTTTCAAGCAAAGTTTTAGATGTCCAAGAGGCTTTACAGCCTCTTCAGGGCTGGGGATTTCCCCTGGCTACTTTCACAAGAAACAAACCCACACTTCCTAGGATATATAGAAGCTTTCCTAATGACTAGACAAAGTCTTTTGATTTAACTGAACGTTTGTGTCCAATGCAGCCGCTTACACAGTTATTTTCTCATCAATAAGAGGACAGACAATAAAAAACTGGCATCAATTTTGTTTTTTACAATAACAGTAGCTCAAAAAAGTCAAATATTGCCATTAACAATGAAGAAAACATAAGAAAAATTATGACGTTTTAAAACTAGCGCAATGTTATTGTTAATAACTTTTCTTGCTTGGTGATTAGCTACTGATGACAAGTAACGTTGACAGGTTGAGTCACATCACTGCCCTGTATAAATTAGGAATGAAATTGTTTTTCAAACTTAAAAACGGAGGCATTTTAGGGTTTTATAAAGTCATAAACTAGCCCAAGGTTAAATATTATTCCCAGAAAAGATTTTGGAGCGGTTAGAGTAATCAAACAAGTCGAAGTAATGTATGGTTTATAAGCTGTCTGCAGATCAAACTAGCCTGGCAGGTTTGAAGAGTTGCTAACCAATCAGTACGAACAGAAATCGTATACGGCCAGTTGTTTACGTCAGTTCTTGTCTTGTTTTTCGTCTTGAATGCCATTCACCTATGAGCTGTGTACAATCAAACCGACAGGTGGGTTTTCTAGGCATGAAGTTTTCAATTCAACTTACCAGGTACTTACAAAGTTTCATAAAGTTTGTATAAAAGTTTGTTTTGCTTTTGGAAAAAAGGATCAGAAAACTTCCGTTATTGATGTGCTTATTTTTAATAAACTAGACTGTCAGAATAATAATATTATTTATTTATTGTTATTTATTGTTATTATTGTTATCTTACTTTTTTAACTTTCAAGCTATATACGCACATTAAAAGCTTACCTAAATTGCAGTTTTGAAACTGTACAATTTCTAGAAAGTTGTCTCCCCTTTTGGAAACTAAGTGTCCTGTTTGGTTTCCCATGTTTAAGCTTTTCACAGAGAGCCTAAACAGATGCAAGTCTTGCATCAGAGCTGCTTGGCTATTTTTCTCAGAGAACAGAAAGTGAATCTTCTATGAACTTAGCTAAGCAAAAACACCAAAGTTCCGCATTTGTTTGGCAAATGACCGCATCTTGCATAAATCAAAATTTTTTGTGTCTGTCCTCTTATTGATAATAAAAATTAGCCAATCAAAGCGCAAGATATGATGCAGTTTTTGTAAAAACCACCTTTTGAACCCTTATAAAGCCACTCTTTGTACTTAGGGCCTGTTTACAAGGACAGAGGGTTACACTTGTGCTGGGTTACCCTAGCAAGTGGGTTAAAGATAGCTCTGGTTTACAAGCAAATTTCACAGGTAGGGTTACCCTATTATCCGGGTCAACTTTACAAGCTTTACTAACATGTTTTGTCATGCTTGACATTGTTTGTAATGTCCAACATTTGAACTAATTAAAACTTGAAGTTCTCCATGGAAAACACGTTAAATTCACAAAAAATAGGAACATATAATTATGGTATACAAAAAATACCTTATATTGTCCAGAGGTTTATAATTTAGCACAGAAATTGGATAATTCCGTTCAAATTATCAGGATTACTGGTCACAGGGGGTAACCCTCCTGCTAGGGTAACCCTAGCACTCAGGTAACTCTACCTGCCTTGTAAATACGTTGTGTAAAAAAAAAGGAAGAACAATAAATAGGGTAACCCTCTTGCTAGGGTAGCCCTAGCACCAGGGTTACCCTTCCTCCTTCTAAAAGAAGGCCTTATCATGTAAAGGCCCCCCTGGGCTTTCATACACTAGTTCTCTAATACTCTATACAACCGAAATTTTACGCTATTTTACTGAGTACCACGTAGCCATGTAGTCAACACAACCGGGTATTCTACACTTAATTGTTCTTTACCTTGAGTTCTTGTAATGGTTTCCTAGTTAGAGTGTTAATACAATCAATTCAAATGCAATGTGCAACAATCACCCGCCATTATGGGATCGATGGAGTATTGTCAACCGCGAGGAGTCTGGGTTAGACTACAGTCCCCCTCGTCCTTGTTCAAAACAGGCAAAGAACATGAAAGAAGTGGCAACAAACTATGAACGATAAAAAGAACTTTCTTTACCGTTGATACTTAACTCCACGGGGTTGGTAGCAATAATATGCATCTTCTGACTTTAGCCAGCTCGATTTGTTTGCCTAGCTCGGAAGCACTTTTTTGGACCAGTGAAATTGTCATTGCGCTACTGCTCTTGTTTCCCGTCACTAATACCAAAGATTCCGTCTACAATCCGATTTTTCAGTAAAATATTCAAAGTTTCAAGGAGGAATTCAACCAATTCCGAGGGTGCCTTTCTCCCTCGAGGCTGATATTTGTCAAGTTGTGTGTTCCCACTTTGGGGCATGTGTCAAAGGTAGCAGGCCCGTAGCAAGGGGAGGGGCAGGGGGGCTCGAGCCCCCCCAGAAATTTTCAGACTTTTTTCTACTAAAACGGACAGCTGTCAGTGGAAGCTAAAGTTTCAAAGTATTGTCGATCATAGTAAGATTATGTACTGTTGTTCTTCTGTGCAATTTGGAAGTGTGTAAATGAACGAAGTCGTATTTTTGCTCTGCCAACAACAACCAACAGCTGTAAAATATCTGCTTATTACATGTAAGCATCAAAATAGTCAGAAGCAAAATGGATCGAAATGCACCAATGACAATCCCTGAACTTGACCTCTTGAACTTTATTGGTTTCCTAAGAGGTCCGCCAGTGTAAAATATACTACTTTACTGGAGTAAAACTTAGGTTTTTGCGCGTTTATATTTAAAGTCTTACAATGTC